TAGGGTCTACAGTTGAGGTCACATGCCAGGCATACAGGAAATAACAAACTAAATCAAGCGCTACGCGCACTGATAAAATGCGTTTTCCGTTAGAAGGGGTGTTTTAAGTGAAGTCGAAATACTGATTAATAGAGCAATTTAACGCAGGACACGTTATACAGGCCAAGATGCAAACATTTGAGTGAGCATGCTACGAGCTATCCGCAAAATCACGAGAGCAATTTTATCTTTTTCCGAGGCTTGTCCATATTTTTCCTCAGAAACTTACATTTTGCAGTACTTATTAAAAGAAAACCGTGTTTCCTAAGTGCTTTCTACCTAGGTAACAGGTAAGGTTTGGTTGTTAAGTAAGTGAGTACTTAGTTGCTATTGACGCTATTTTCTGGAGTTTAACATTGTGGGCTAATGCCTACGCATTAGTAAGGCATAAAGGGGAACATTATGCTACTCAGGGGAACCCACATAGTATGGAATGTGGAAATATTACACTTCGGTACAACGGGTATATGTATGGTACAATAAATAATGAAAGTTTTTAAAGTCGCAAAATGTCCCTTCCATAAATAAAAGCATCATAAAATGTAATCTGCTACAAAATGACTGTAGTAAATGATGTTTGAATACATAGTCTATGCGAAAAGTGTTACAATTTATAACTGCATGAAAAAAAAGCAGCGAACAATTACTGTACTTGAGTGGTAATCCTCTTGGTGATGTACTCGATGTTTTAATGTATCGTAGTTCGACATCCCTGATCGCATTACGACTGAAAAAGTAATAGTCGTGCCACGGAAGGACCAAAGTATTTATTATTTTTATCTGGGCAGGCCGTATAGTTAGTCATCGAGAAAGTGGTGTATGCAATTCCCCTGACGTGGGGCACCGATTTACTGTTAGAGTACATTGATGTGGGTAACAGAACACCTCTATTTTCAAAGCAATCGCGCAAGCAGGTAAGGTTTGTAGGACCTGGATGATCATAAATGCATATACCACCCTCAGGAATATGCGATAGTTGAAAGAATAGGAAGTTCGTTGACTGGACTTCGGATTCTCACTATAATTCGCCATCAGAGACAGGCAAGCGACTTATGACACCAAAAACACTACATTTCTTTCTATCATAATGCGGTTTGCTAATTACACATCGATGATCAGTTTCTTGGTGTGCGGTCTTCAGAAGTATCGTGAGGGTAGGATCTGTAACCCCAGTAAGTAGAGGGTAACTAGTGGAACGTGTGATACGAGGATGACGTTAATAGTGTTTTATGGATGGCGCCAATAAACTGCGAAAAGTGGGGTGACGCAAAGAAAATCCATAAAATGGCATAAATAGGATGCAAAGAAGTTGAGTATGTAAATTACTAATAAAAAAAACCATCACTGATTGATCAAAGGAAGTGGAAAAAACTGCCACTACTGGATTTTGTTGAGGTCTTGATCCACGAGTACATGCAGCCAATGGAATTCTAGAACAAGCAGTGTATGACAAGTGGTAGATGACAGAAGACTTAGGAATAAACGAACACAAGATGTGTTGTAAGTACAAGGGCCTAAATGCGAACGCCCGAGCAGGAGACTAGTCGGTTACTAAAGATGTGGCAGCAGTTCAGTGTTTGTGGGAGAACTGGCAAAATTAATGCATCGTAAATCAGTCAAATTCTAAGGTACTGCAGTATCGAGTGGACAAGACTGGAATGCGCACAGCGGCAAATTAATAAACAGCCTTTTTTCATCTAACCGGCAGACTGTGCGCACCTGCCGGCCGGAAAAGCAGACAGCTGGGGAAATTACGCATGCGGCAAACTCCTCACAGCTAGCCGCGTACCACCACTGCGGAGGATCGCTGCCAAGGGTTC